CGGAGCCGGTGCCGGAGAGGACGAGGGCGCGGGCGCCGTCTCGCGGGGCCGCTGTGCCGCGGGGTGGCTTCCGGCCTGAGCCCGCCTCCGAGCAAGGCTGCCCATTGGGCTACCCGCCCTGCAGGCTGGGGCCGGGGTGCCTTCGGGGCGGCCGGGCGGGGGTCATCCCCGGGACTGGGCGCATCCCCTCTGTCTGCGCGGGGGCCGGCAACCCCGGGGCCCCCACGCCTGGGCGAGGGCCCTGGGCGCGTGGTCGGGAGTCCCCTGCTGCCCTGGAAGACTGGAGACCGTTGGGTGTCGTTGACGAGGCCAGGCACGCAGGCGGAGGGAGGCTGCCTCTTGCCCCTCCTGTGAGCTAAAGGGGCAAGATGGGGTTGGGGCATTAAGGAAGGTATAAGGATCTCGAGATAGGGGACCAGCCTCTGCTTTTCTTTGGACCTCAGCCTGCCAGAGGGGTCCTTCGCATGCCTTGAAAACTTAAAAATCCAAAACAATTTTTTAAATGTCCCGCTCAAGATTCTTTTAAAGTGAAGGAAGGGAGGTAGAGGGGTTCAGACCTGACACTTTCCTGCGGGGCTATTCTGACGTGCATACTAGACGGCAGTTCTGGAAAGAGAAGCCTTGAGTGATACAGGGTCAGAAGGTCCACCCAGAAAAGCTTCAGATGGGGATAGTGAAGGTTAGTTTTGTTCTATTCATTCTCTCTTGCCGTCTCCAGGTGGACTCTGCAGTTTTTGCCTCAGGCACAAAGTAGCCAGAAGTACAGAAACTTCCTGGTTGCAGCTCAGACTTCCAGCTACAGAGAACTTGCTCCCGGGATGGAGCCCCAAAGGAATTTGTGGATTCCTCTCCCACAAGTGTCCAGGGGCAGGGGTGCTGGGAGAAAGTGGAGTGCACAGAGGGAGAGAGAATGGCAGAGTCATAACAGACTCTGAACCAGAGTTAAAGGGAAAAAGGAGACAGGACAGAGAGCCAACATATTTACTTATTTTTCCTCCAAGTAGAAAAGTTTTGGTAAAGGGTTGCTTACAACTCTGCAGAGTAAGTTACATTTCTGTAATTTTCCGAAGACACAGTCATTAAGTGAACTTTTCTGAGGGCTATGGTACTAGGTGCTGGACACACAGAATTCACTCATTCAGTTACTGTGTGACTAAAGCCAGGTCTCTCTGTTCTGTGCTAGCAGATCTCAGTCTAGAAGGGAAACAGATCATTGAAGTTCACCAGTTGATAAGGAGGAAGGATACTCCTGTCAGAATGAACAGTGTGTCTCAAGAAACGGTGAAGAAAGAGCATGGTGTGTGTTGTTGACAAGCATTTTAATTTGGCTGAATCAGAGGTGCTTGTGGAAAGAGCTTGTTAGTGAAAATATAGACAGAAGGTCCCCCCACCTTTTACCCTGTGATACTACAGTAGAAGCCACCCCGTTTGGAGTTTGGACTTTGCTTTGTTTGGAATAGGAAGCTGTGAAAGGAAAGCTATATATAAAAGTGGGTTCTTTGACAAAATTTAATATCACAGAAATAGCCTGAAGGCCTAAAGGCCAATTGCTGATAGGATTTGCGTGGGGCCGGGAGATTACAAGATAAAGATATTTAGTTGGGTTTTGGTAGCCTTTTCTATAGAGGCAACAATATTGGGCTGAAAAGCAAGGGAACTGGATTCTAAGCTCAATTTACTAAATTTATGTGACCTCAGGCGAGTTACTTGTTCCAACTTAATTTTTCTCATATGTAAAAAGATTGTAAAGGTTCTAAAGTTCTCTCTTGCTCAGAAATTCTGTGATTCTTCAATGAGTTTGAAGTCATGGAGTTCCACTCAACATTACTCAACAGAATACTTAGGAACTAGCAAATGCTGGGAAATTGGAGTGAAATATATAAGTGCTGCTCTTACTGAGCTCAATGGGCAGTGGGACAGCCAGAAATGTAAGTTACAGTAAGAGAAGTGGTTCATTAAAGGGGTGAACAGAATGAGTAGAGCATTATTAATTATCAATAATTAGCAATGGAATTATTAATTCAGCTTGGAGTTATGGGTCATGGAGTGTAGGTCAAAAGAAGTAACAAGGAACTGGGCCTGGAGGTATTAATAGATGATAATACGGATAATGCTCTTGGCAAAGTACCTGGGACATAACAGATGTTCAATAAATAGCACTTACCATGTTGTTATAGTCACAATAGAGAGTGTGTGGCTCCCTAAGGTTAGGGAGAGTAGTGGCTGCCCCCGCAATATTAGGTGCAAGCTACCTTTATTCGCTTGACTAAAGGGGTCATTCAGGTGATTCTTTCCCAGCTCACAGCCCTCCTCCGAGGTAACATGACATCACCATCTTGACCAGAAGCAACTTGTAAGCTACGAACTGTTGCTGACATGAAGTTCTTCCTCACAGGACAACCTGTTTTGTAATTATTTTATGTCTGTCTTTATTTTTGCCATGTCTGCCCTTGAAATTAGGAGTCATGTTGTATAGGCACTCCTAAGGGCATACAAAATTGACCTCATGCAAAGTATTCCATAAAGTATGTAATAAAAATTTTTTCCATATCACCCCTCAAAATAAACACCAGCAAAGACAAAGCAGACACCAACTACCACAAAAAGATTGTTCCCTCGTGGGCTCCTATTTTTCTCTTGTTGGTATGGGGTCCTGCCAGCTTCTCACTCACAACACTGAGAGAGGCAGAAGAGGAAAGGTACTAAATCAAGTTGCAACAGATATTGCCACATTCCTCCTCTCCCCTTTTCCCACAAAAGTTGTGACCAAAAGGAACCTGTCATTATAAGGGCAGACAAGGCAGGCCCCAGAATCCTTTAAACGTCCTAGTTTGGGAGATGCTTTTTCCTGAGCCTTTCAATGGGTCTCAGTGTTATATATATATATGTACTTAAGTATATGTGTGTATAACCAAGACTTCTACAAGAATATATCATTTGAGTTGCCTAAGAAGTTTTTGAATTGAGTGATTGTACAAGCTGCTATGAGGCTACAGATCTTTTTTTAATCACCCACCATGGCCGGCAACACACCTCACACATAACGGATGTAGAGTAAATACTTATTAGTTTTGTTGATTTCGGAATGCTTTCATTTGTTTCCTTATAGTCGATAGCTTTTCTCAATACCCCTTCATTTTCCCCCTTTCTTTTTTCAAGCAGTTTCAGAAGGTACCCAGTTACTTGTATTCTCTTGTCTTTTGGCTATAAAATTTTCTCTTTCTACCCATAAAAATGGGATTGGTTTCCTAGGAAGTCATGTCTTGGCCTAGGCTTAGTTTGAGAAGCTGTGTTTGCCGTTGTTAGCCTCAGTGTCTCTGGACTCCCAGAGTCCAAAGCCCTGCTTGGCATCTATGAGTTCTGCCATTGTGTCATGTGTGGAAAACCTGCACGTGCCAGACGCTGGGCGGGGCCCTAGGAATGGAAAGGTGCGTAAGTCTCCACTGGACTTCAAGGACTTCAGGGCACGAAACTCAGAGATCATTTCCTGCTTTTCTCCTTTGAGATAACTCTGAGGGAGGGTAAATACCAAAAAGGGCTCGTGTTTTTATTCCATGAAGAACTCGTACACATGAAGTGAAAACATAAACACATTAATAGGGCAAAAGGCATGAACAGAAAGAATTTTAAATAAATACACTTATTTAACCTCATCAAAAAAAACTCAACCTTGCTAGTCATCAAAAAAGGAAAATTAAAACGAGATACCTAATAAAAGAACAAAAACAATTTTTAGTGATTATAATCATAGCTGGCAAATTGGTAAAAAAATTTCCCTTTGTGCATTTCCAGTGGCTTTGAAAGTGGGTACTAGCCTTTTGAAAAGCAATTTGGAAGTTTGTGTGAAGAGCCTTAAATGTGTTCATACTCTTTAACCAAATTTCTCCATTTGGAGAAATGTAGCTTAAGGAAACATTCTAAATATAAGAAAAATATCATTGAAAAATTGGAAATGTCCAACTATAGGAAAATGATTACAAACTATTTCACCCACACAATGAAATTTGCAGTTATTAAAATAATACATATGAGGAGTATGCAAAAATATAAAAACAGATTATGATAAAGTGTTAATGAGGGCAGGATTTGTCTATTTTGTGAAGTGAGAGCCTGACTCAATGCCTAGCAAGGTTTCTGACACAAAATAAGTGCTCCAGAAATATCTATCATGAATATGCACCATAT